GAAGAAGAAGAAGAAGAAGAAGAAGAAGAAGAAGAAGAAGGAGGGGGAGGAGGAGGAAGAGAACGAGGAGGATGAGGAGGAGGAGGAGATGGAGGAGGAGGAAAACGGTGTAGGGCCAAACCCTGTTAGAATTTCGAGCCTGCGTCGACCCCCTGCGGGTCCCAGTTGGCTCGGCCCGCCCACGCTCGTGCTCAGGGTACGGGCCATTCGTCACGGGGTCACCCCCACCTAGTGCTTTGAGATGGATGCGGGTGGGTCATCGAGCGAGAGAGCTTGACATTGGGGATGCAGCTCAACCCTCACGCCAGGTGGTAGTCTCGTTGATCTTTTCGTAAGTGTAGGTTTTCTGATTCTTGGTTGTGTTCGCAGGTAATTGCTCCTTCCAATACTCAAGCAGTCCAGAGGTTCTTTAAAAATTCACTTCCTTTGTGCGTAGGCTAAGCGTCATCCTTAGGCCACGCAATATTTCCCTATCCCAACAGTCCTATGGCATCTTCGGGGCGTGGCAGTGCCGTCTTCCCCCCTTCGCCCCTACTCATTTTCGTGTTCCACATATTCCATCCATCGCCTTGGTGCCTGCCCCTTAGTCTTTCTGGGGCCTTCATACGCGTACAAAGGGCTTCCTCACATTTCAACCACTCAAGACTTTTTTCATCTCTGAGTCCACACTCAAAACTTCATACACCGAAGCCCCACTCACATGTAGAGTTTACACTAGGGCCCCATAGCCCTTTGCTCATCGACTCCCCTTCCCTTTGCTAGCACATCTCTGGCCCAATCCCGCTCAAATCACCCCAATGCTACTCACCTGCACAGTCAACACGAAGCAAAGATCGATACAATCCCCCACTTGGGGTCAACACATAATCCTTCCCACATGCCTAAGCTTTCTTTCTTTGCCCTTGGCTTCCTCCCCATTCCCTTTGCTATAATCAGTTTGTCCATCCTCTTCTTATAGTCATGCCGTCCGGGTTCTGGTTGAGTCAACTGACCTGTCTTCTGAAACAACAATCTCTTTCTTTGGTCCTCTTTGGACTAGCCTGCTTTCGATCTCACTGCGTTTTTCGTTCACCGTTCTCAAGTGTATCCTTCTTTTCTTTTTTGGTCGCACAAGGGACCGACAGTCCTCCACTTGCTCTCTTTCTCCACAAGTAAGTTCAACTTTGTCTCACCGTTCCGTTCTCTGGCAATGTAACAAGTGAGGGGGAGAGGTTAATTGCATGCTAAGTGGAAAGAGAAAAAAAGTTTTAGACTTAGGCTACGGAGGAGTAGCGGAAGGAGGACCAAAGAACGAAATAGGAGAGAGAGAGAGAGCTGTCTCTTATACACATCTAGATGTGTATAAGAGACAGCTGCATGGTAGAGATGAAAGAAAGTTGGGATACG